CATCACCAACTTTGACAACACCCCGGCCATCCGACCCGATGCGAATGTGGTTGTGCTGGGTGATACGGATCGCGAGGCTGCTCCTGATGCAGATGCAGTGGTGCCCGAACCGGATAATGGTGACGATGGCGACGCCCAAGTCCCAAATGACGACGACCTCAATGGACACCATGATGGAACCTTGAACTCGTCCTATGGCCGTGTCGGTGCCAGCTTTTATGCGGAGCTCAGGAGCCACAAGAACGACAAACTGTGCTTCTTTCGCTGTCTAGCCGCACTCCAGAAGTGGGAAGAGCTGAATGGATCCAACAAGACCGTGCGATATGACCGCATCGAGGGGCTTACTAAGAAGTATTTCAGGAAAGCTCTCCCTGACCAGTCACCAAAGACATACCCCGGCATCCGACTCAGAGAGCTCCCGCAGATGGAGGATGTCTTCGAGACGCGGGTTCGTCTGTGGATTCGCGACCCAATGAACCGTGAGTCGCTCCGGTTCTTCCGCGATGGAAAGGCAGAGTACAAGGACAAACGCACCCTCAACATCCTCGTCGACAATCGCCATTTCTCATTTCTACCAGATCCACACCCAGCCTTGTTCCCATGTGAGAAATGTAGCCGTATCTATTCGGGTCCAGCCGCACTCCACCGCCACATATGCAAGGGTGGGCAGGATGTTCAGGTCTTTCAGGAGGGGCTATACAAACCACCAATGGGAACCTTTGACCGAATCCCCGAGCTCGCCCCATATCCATTCTTTGTCGTGCTCGATACCATCCATATCCGCAAGCCACGCGCTGAAGGTACTATCGACGATATGGACGACGGTACTACCGATACACACGTCCACCACCTCTTCCAAGTACATGCCCGAACCAATTTCCGGGCCGCCGATGCACCAAGCTCTATCATGCGCGAGGTCCTCTCGGGGCATGCAGTCTTCCGCGGTGAACATATGATCCGCGATCTCGTACGATATTTGCAAGGATTACAGGCGCTTGCAGAGAACCATATGCGCAAGCAGTACCGTGGTTTGCTGGGCAGACTCCGAGAGCAATCCAAGGATCCATCGAATTCAAGTGCAAAGGTGAATCTCGTTCATCTTCAGCGGTGGCTGGCGCAGCTCCCTGTCGTCGGCTTCAATCTCGGTGTAATGCTTTATCGGCAAATCGTGGCGCAGCTGTATCAAGCATCGCCCAACCATTCCGTTTCCATCATCAAGAAAGGCAGACGCTACCAAGCACTCATTACCGACCAGCTACGCTTCTTGGATCTCACCAATTTTCTAACACCGGGTGTGACGCTGTCGACATTCTTTGAGACATATCACCCGGAGATCAAGGTGCCAGCATTTCCCTGGACGACATTGGTCTCTGTTGATCAGCTGCATGACCCACTCAGTCAGCACAAGCTTTCGATTCAAACCCTGTCTTCGCGTGGGACACTCTCGGCGCAATATCACCCCGTGCACACCCATCCAGCCGATGTGAATCTAACCGTGATCGAGTACATTGACCGCTACACCGCCACCATTGCCGAGGGGCTGTGTCGGTCGGTCGAGACACTCATGTCATTCTACAGCTCCAAGAACATTCATGTCTTCAAAGATGCCATCAGTATTCCAGGGCTGGTCGAGCAATATCTCTTCCGACCGCTGCGCGACGACATTCATGCATCGTTCATGCTCATAAGTGATCAGGCGCTTTACACCGAGCTTCGCGACTCTGTAGTCGGGGGGCCGAGCCTGGTGTTCAACGAATTTGCCAAGGCCGGCGAAACACTGATCCATGGCAACCCAGATCGCATTTGCCAGCGGGTTATCGGCATGGACGGTAATGCGCTATATCTATGGTGTCTTGGGCAGGAGATGCCCACTGGTGCTTATGTGGACCGCATCATACCACCCGACTCGGAATACCGATACCGTCTCCCAGAAGCATTCTTTGGATTTGCCAAAGTCGACATTCACGTTCCCGATTCGCTTCGGAACCACTTCAGCCACTTTCCACCCATCTTTATCAAGGATGCAGAGGAGGGCAAGATCAAATCCGTTATGGATGCGAAGGAAATCATTCTTTTCTCGCCTCTGCTCAGATGGTATCTCGAGCACGGTCTCGTGATTACTAATATCCACAGACTCGTATCGTTCGAGCCCAACCGATGTTTTCAGTCGTTCGTTGACGAAGTGACTGAGGCTCGCCAGCAAGGAGGAGACTCGATTCTGGCGGATACGATGAAGCTCTTTGGGAATTCGGCATATGGTCGATCGCTTATGAAGCGCGAGGATTTCTCTCGGGTCAGGGTTGTCGAAGCAACACATCTCCAGAAGCATGTGATGGAGCCGAGCTATGTCGAGGCACACCCTCTCGGTAACGATTTATACGAAGTGACCAGGCGATGTACAAGGATCGTTCATCATTCTCCGATCCAGATTGGATTGGCCGTATACAGCTACGCCAAGCTGCGCATGCTGCAGTTTTACTATGATTTCTTGTGTCAAGTGACGACACAGGATCGATTCATGCCGATGCACATGGATACGGACTCGTTGTACATGGCGATCACGGGGGATCGGCTGGAAGATATTGTCACATGCCATCCATTTCGGTACGAGCAGCTAGCCAAGCAATTTCTCTCGCGAGATCCATCAACTCGACGAACACCTGGTCTTTTCAAGGTTGAATTCAGTGGCACAGAGCTCGTGGAATTAGCGCCCAAGCTCTATTCGGCATTCGATAGCGAAACTCAGAAGCATAAAATGTCGTCAAAAGGCGTGTGTCAGGAACAGGTTGCTATAGGACACAAGCGAGTCCTAGAGCTGATGAACGATCAAGAGGTGTGGACGATCAGGCAGGACTCGGTGCGCTTGAATGCGGCTGGTGAATTATTTACAGTTAGACAGAGCAAGAGAGCTTGGCAAAAGGGCGTGTGAGAGAAGTTGAGTCATGTACTTTTTTTCGAGACTGAATGACAATACAATATTTTTGCCCATGGACCAAACGCCGATCGTCTACTTTGCGATATTCGTTATCGGATTTATGGTCATGTATTACTATACAAAGAAGGGAGTCGAGTCGTTTCTACCAGCGTCGACCGGATCCGGTGTCGCTTACAAATACAACCCATTCACTCGTCGTATGGAGCAAGTAGCAGCACCTGCATCACCATCGACGGCTGCGTCCACACCCACACCTGTATCCACACCAGCACCAGCACCGGCGCCCGCCTCTATCGTGTCGTCGACACCGGCTGCCGTTTCCGCGATATCCCCGACCATCACAAGCACCAATGCAACGACCGGGCTGGTAAGTACTGTCACATCTGCGGGTTCGACTGGAATCACTGGTCCTCCTGGGGCTATGGGGTTGCAGGATTTGCAGGGCCCACCAGGCCCGATAGGTCCTGCAGGTGCTCCCGGTGCTATGGGGCCGGCTGGACCCGCTGGACCCACTGGACCCGCTGGACCTGTTGGACCGCAAGGCATTCCAGGACAACCCGGTCCTCCCGGTGCTGGCATCCCCGTGTCTGGTTTCATCAACAACTGGGGTCTTATCCCGGCCGCAGATACCCCAACACAATGTGCTTCGGTCTGGGGAGGTGGTACTGCGGACGGGACTAATCTGGCCATGTGGGCTTGTCACGGTCACGGAGGGCAATCGTTCCGTTATAACCCTACTACCAAGCAGATTATGGATTTTACCAGCGGCAAATGCCTCGATGGCGGCAATCTTCAAAATGGCACCCAGATGGTGATCAAGACTTGCAACCCTTCGACACCAAGTCAACAATTTAACGTCATTAATGGCGGATCTACCATGCAATTTGCAGGAAACACAGCCAAATGTGTGGATCGGGCGGGTGGGTCAGCAGCGAACTCAACAGCTATCCAGGTCATGGACTGCAATGGTGGGGAGTCGCAGGCATGGCGTCTACCCTGGGCCGTTTATCAGTCCTAATTCCATGTAAACATTTTGAGTGTGTAGCTGTCGTGACTATTCCCTCCATTGTTGGGCTTTGCAGTGATGTAGTTGAAATTGAGGTATGTTCCACTCCAGTCGATATTGATTTTCAGACCCGTATAAGCCAATACATTGGTGCTGTACATTGGAGGAGCTGGAGTCAGCCCAGTCACAGCGACGTTGCTCTTGCATGCCACAGCGATCTCGTACACGCCCTGATCGGTCGCTGAGCCAATAAACAGCAGGTACACCCCTGACGTTGGGCCAGCGGAAAGCGTAAGCGTAGTTCCATTGGTTGGGATGTAAAGAAAGTATACCAGTGGTGAGATGGCGATTCCGTTCGAGCCGGTGACGGTGCCTTGCAGAGAGGTGTTACCGGTCACAGTCAGACCACCCGATGCAGTGATGTTGCCAGAGCAGACAATGCTTCCACCGCAATATAGATTCTTTTGGACCGAGAGACCGCCGGAAAACTGGACAGAGCCTGTTCCGAGCGCTGTGCAGTCAGTGGTCAGTGCATTCAGTAACAATCCATTCAAATTCGTCTGGCCCGTGATGTAGACTTGCTTCAGCGACTTGGAGAGCGTCACGAACGTGGGGATGGAAAAATCGCTTGCCATAGTGAGTGTCCCTCCTAGATTTGTGTTCTTAGCCACAGAAAGCCCACCTGCGGTGATCACAGAGCCGACACCCACGGCGGTAGAATCGGTTGTCGATGCGACCTGAATGGTGCCCGCTGTATACAGACTACCTCCCGTGGTGAGTCCTTGGTCATTGAGGAGATCGAGATTGCCTTGGAGGAAGGCGCCTGTGGTTGTGTGTGACATCTCGTAGCGTTCTGCTCACACAAAATCAAAAGATTTCGCCATTGGCTGGGAGCTCGCTCCGAACTCGTTCCAGATGCCAGAATCGCTCGGGCTGGGGCATGAAGCGATGACGATGCCAGAGCTCTGCATTCCCGGTGCAGCGCAGGATCTCACGAGCAGCTGCGCATGAAGTGTACTTGGCTTTTGCCATGTGGTAGAGTCTGTCTGCTTTGATGGCCTCCCATTGATCGACCTGCTTCTTCGACAAGCGAACACACTGCCTCGCTCGTCTAGCAGCCAGACCATCGCCCCGACCTAGTGCACTCCCACTGTCTCGAGTGAATTCGTATGCTGCGTCTGGATTCGCGATCGAGATCTTGGCTGCATGGTATGCATGTTCGATTGAATTGTACGTTTTTCCTTCGAAGCCGAATGGACAGACGTGGAAGTGGCTCAGTACTCGTCTCCAATTCGGGGTTTGCTGTAGGCTGGTGTAGATGCTGGCATCTGCGACGCACTCGTATTCGCCTTGGCCGGGTGGCATATCTGGAGAGTAGGAAAAGAAGCAGAATCGATCACTCTGCGTCATGCTGGCTTCTCACTGGTGGGTCGTGCTGAGAATCTTTGAGCCTCACACAGCGCACCAGGCATTTGGCACAGGACCCGATTCTATGGCAAAACAAAAAATGATGCTATATTCCAGCAAACGATCTTGCTGCAACATGGCGACTCACGTACCGGATAACATTGAGTACCAGGGTGATGTGGACATCATCGCCGATTCGACTGGTGCAGCCAATCTTTACGTGGACGGAACCGAGACCGTTTACAACACATTGAATGTCAATAGTACGATTGATGCGACTTCGAATTCTGGAGCTTTGGTCGTACTCGGAGGCATTTCAGCCTCGAAATCGATATGGGCGGGCACTAGCCTCAACTCGAGCACGCTGTCGGTGACGTCTAATGCCGTCATCGGGGGGACGCTGACTGTGACTGGGCTCGCTTCACTCAATGGAGGTCTCGCCTTGAGTGGAGCACTGTCGATCACGAATACTACGGACTCGACAAGTACTTCCACAGGTGCTCTGGTTGTGGCTGGAGGCATCGGAGTCTCAAAAAACATGTGGATCGGTGGACAGGTCAACTCTGCGACCGTGTCGACTACAGGGCTGGTGACTATTGGGGGTGGGCTGACCGTCGCAGGTATTGCTAACATGGGGGCGATCACATCGACAAGTGTAATATCAACAACCAATACAACCGATGCCACTTCTGGAGCGGGGACATCGGGTGTGCTCCGTGCGTCTGGCGGTGCCTCGATAGCCAAGTCGCTTTGGGTCGGAACGAGTGTAAACTCGGCAACCCTGGCGACGACCAGCAACGCCAGCCATGGAGGGACGTTGAGTGTTACAGGAGCGACGACCCTCTCATCCACGCTCGGTGTGACAGGAGCATCGACTCTGGCTGGCTTGACGGCTTCTGGTGTGGTTAGCATCACCAATAGTACCGCATCGACGAGCACGACCACTGGCGCTCTTCAGGTAGCTGGCGGAGCAGGTGTCTCTGGCGCTCTGAATGTCGGAGGAGGCGCGACTACCACGACATTAACGGCCTCTGGTAATGCTAGCATCGGAGGAACCCTTACTGTGACAGGGTTGACCACTCTCTCTGGCGGCCTGTCGCTCACAGGAGCATTGACCATCTCGAGCACTACAGATTCGACTAGCTCTTCGACTGGTGCTTTGGTTGTCGCGGGCGGAGTCGGTATAGCCAAGTCCCTGTGGGTAGCTGGGACATCCAATCTCGCTGCTCTTAATGCGAGCGGTATCATCACTCTCTCCAACACCACCGATGCAACGAGCACGACATCAGGATCACTCATAGTCGCTGGAGGGGTGGGGGTTTCCAAATCGCTCTGGGTCGGAACTCAAATCACGGTGGCAACCATCGCGACCACTGGTACGGTTGGCGTAGGGGGTAATTTGAATATAATCGGAACTAGCAATTTCAATGCAGGAGTGACGCTGAATTCCACGCTATCAGTCGTCGGGGCTACCACTCTCGGAAGCGTTACTGCGAACGGACAGGTAAACACCACATCGACCACAGACAGCACGTCCAGTACGACGGGCTCGGTGACTATCGCTGGAGGCATGGGCATTACAAAATCGCTTTATGTTGGCACGAGTGTCAACTCCACCACCATGTCGACGACTGGTAATGCATCTCATGGAGGGACGTTGTCTGTCACTGGCACCAGCTCATTGACTGGATTACTGACTTCTGTTGGAGGTATCAATGTGACGTCGACGGTCGACGCCTCCGCCAGTGGCGGTAGCGTATATACCCTCGGTGGTATGTCGATTACAAAGCAACTCTATGTCTCGGGGATGGCGACTCTTGCTGGGGGGTTGACCTTGACTGGAGCGCTCGCGATCTCGAACACCACAGACAGCAGTAGTACCAGCACTGGAGCTCTGGTGGTCTCCGGTGGGGTCGGCATAGCCAAAAATTTGACAGTTGGTCTCGGTGTCACCGCTACTACATTGAATACAAGCGGAAACGGCAGTATCGGTGGAGCGCTTTCGGTGGCGGGAACGTCCACGCTGACCGGGGCATTGACCAGCGCTGGCGGAATCGTCGTTACAAATACCACCGACTCGAGCTTCTCCGGAGGCTCGATCTTTACCAATGGAGGACTCTCCGTGACTAAGAGTGTCTATGTCGGAACCAATCTCAATGTCGGATCAAGCTTGGTCGTCACCGGAACCGCGAATCTTTCGAGCTCAGCGAGCGTCGGCGGCACCCTGGCAGTGACAGGCAATTCCACCTTGACGGGTACATTGGCGGTCGCTGCGGCAGCCACATTCTCCTCCAACATCACAGTTCCTACCATCAACAACATTAAGCCAGCTACTCAGATCACTATCCAAATCCCTCGCAACGGAACGAGTGTTACGATGTCCTCGGGTCCGACATGGGGGTGCTATTTGATCTTTATTGGTTGCTCGACTGATACGGGAACTTCCTGTGTCTACCTAGCTTGCAAAACAGCGAACCCGGTAGGCTCGAAATCAGTCACCATTCAGCTGCTGGCGACACTGGGTTCGTTTATACAAATGACATGGGCAAGCACTCAGCCCGTATTCTATTATCAGACGGCATTGGACACGACGAGCAACACGGATGCCTATGTGGTTCGATGGCTACAGTGGATGTAGGAGGCGACGGACGAAACAAATCGAACGTTGGAGATGTGGTGTCCAACAGAAATGACTGGGACAAACGCACTGGCCTTCTCCGCAAGATCATGAGCACTATCCTGCACCCTGAGTTTGACCCCACCACGTATAACCTTCAACCTGTGCATGTGATCAAGCTCTTCTTTGACGGTCATAACAATAGCGATCGAATTCAGTATCTCTAATGTTTCTTGTATTTGATCTGTAAATCTTGAATTATCCCTTAATAAAAACCCCATGAAAACCCCAAACAACGAGTCCATCCTGCTAGAACGAGAAGAAGTCCTCCAGGCTGGTCTTCTTAGATTTTTTGGAGCTCTTCCGTTTTTTTGATTTCTTGCTCTTTCGTTTTTTACGTGGCTTATCTTCCTCGTCATCATCGTCATCCCAGTCATCATCCCAGTCGTCCCAATCGTCATTAGCCTTCTTCCGTTTCTTCTTAGTGATTCCCAATGACTCCGGGGTGATTGTAATTCCTTGTATAAATCCGTGACCAGGAGTATAAAGCATATTTCCCTTCTTCTTGGAAGACCGACTTGCCGATTTCTTCCTCGTTTTGCTCGAAAAGATATCTTTCCAGAAATCGGCATCATCATCGTCTTCTTCGAAGTCATAGTCATCATCATCGTCGTCTCGCTTTCTCCGCGATTTCGATTTCGATTGCGAGAGCAGATATTTCATCGGGTCGCGTTCATATTCAGCTCGCTTCTCCTGCCGCTTGAAAGCATCTTCGTCGAAGCTGGGATTATCCTTTGTCGCGTATCTGATATCATTGACTTCCGCATGGAGGGGGTAGATGGTGAAGACGACGATCTCTTCTTTATTCATGATCGGCCTCGTTGCTCGCAGGACGGCTCCTTCAGAGCCATGCCCCAGTTCCGCATTTGCGCGTTCTTCTTGGGCGGTTGTCCGTGCGATCGCGGCAACGCCTCGCTGGCATGCTGCGTCAATAAATCGATCTCCAGAGTCGGACGCTTGAACTGTGTACGGTCCGACTAGAGTCTCTCCGTAGCGTTGGACCATCTGGTCATGGTTGATGACTTCTCCCTCGAATTGAATGATGACCTGCCCCTGTTCGAACACAGGCCCAGAGTCAAAGTCGAATCGATCGATAAAGCCGCTAATTTCTGGTGGAGGGCGAATCGCGAACAACCGCATACGACTCGGGTCAGAGCCTTGGATACGCAAGTGCTGGATCAGAGCTAGGTGCTTGTCGCAGAAGGGAACACCAAGGCAGCTAATCTTGTGACAAGGTGATCCGTCGACGTCGTGGCCTCTGCAAGGGAGACATCTGAGATTGCACGTCCACTTATGACTTGGGTCTGCATAATAGAACCGATATTTTGACGTCGATGAATGATTGGAAAACAAATTGCTATACATTCCTGCTGCTACAGTGTGTCCAACAAAAAACAAAATCTCGTTGATTTTTTTCTAGAGGTCCACCTCTAGAAACTGACCATAATGTCATCGACCCAGCAGACCAACTCCTTCGTAACAACCCCCTATTTTTACGCTTGGGCTGAAGGGAATAGCCAGTATTATGCTGTAACGTCGTTAATGGATGCAAAGCAAAAATGCGGTTTGACGTCTGCTACCCTCGCGTTCGTTATTGGGGATTCAACTGGCAATTTTAATAATTTGATGGAGTCGATGCAGAGTGATATAGCTGCGTTCCAGCAGAGTGGTGGTAATGTTATTATCTCCTTTGGAGGGGCCGCTGCTCCGGATGTATTCGATCTATCATTGACCGATACTGAAATATGCAATCAGATCGAACAGATGTATTTAAGCCTCAAGCCTCTGGGCTTCGATTTTGATATCGAGGGCTCTGCAGTCGCAGAGACTTCCACTAACCAACGGCGAGCGGCGGTATTCTCAAAACTACAGCAACAGTACCCTTCTATGGTGTTCTCTCTCACACTCCCATCATTACCCACTGGCCTCGACAACAATGGCCTGGCTTGTTTGAAGACATTTATTTCATCCGGTATCCGAATCGACACCATTCGATTAATGACCATGGACTTTTACGATGAATCCGTATCAACAGATATGGGGGGTGCTGCAGTTAATGCTCTGGAAGGGCTGAAGGGCCAGCTTGCTCAAGTGTATCCAACGTTTTCGTCGCAGCAATTGTATAAGATGATAATGCCGGTTGTAATGATTGGCCAGAATGATGATGGATCAGTGTTTACTCTCGACGACTGCAAGACACTCTGCTCGTACATCAAACAAAACGGACTTGCTGGATTTTCGTTTTGGGCTCTGCAACGAGACCAGAGCTCTCAAACGGGTGGTCTCGCCTGTTCGTCTATGATTACTCAAAAGGACTTTGATTTCTTGAACACCGCCCATAGCATTCTCGGAGGTTCGTCGCCTACTCCTTCACCCGTTCCTGCCCCATCCCCAGCTCCGACTCCAGCTCCTACTCCTGCTCCTGTGCCTGCACCTCCCCCTGCACCTGCGCCTGTTCCTGCTCCACCCAGCAACGCGACTCCATGGACAACCGGGATAAATTACAAAGTCGGTGATTTTGTCAGTTACGCCGGGCATACCTATGTATGTCGCATGGCCCATACTAGCATTGTGACCTGGTTCCCATCTATATACACTCAATCGCTCTGGACGCTGATCAACTGAGCGATCACACGGTGTAGTACCGCTCCCACGAATTCTTCATCGCTTTGATGTAATCACTGTCGTCAATTTCCGATGGCTGCCACGGCTCCTCCTTGATGATCAAAAACGGAACGCCATATCTAGGGAATTTCTGGCGAAGGAAGGCTGTCATGTTGAGCGTGTCATCGTCCAGCAGCACCTCTAGAAACCTCACACCATACCGGATCAGGCGTCGCCGGGTCTCGATGCCTCGCCGAGAGTATGAGTACAGTCAAACCAGAAAGAAACGGGACAGTCACTTCCTGGCATCAGCGACACAGGTCTGCTGATCCGTAGACCCCAGTGGGCAGGTCGTGCGATTGTTTCCCGTCCTGGTTGGCAATCACTTTGTTTTGGGTGGGTCCGGAAGCACAGTCTTGAATACACCCGGTCGATCTCCTGTGGCGATGATCGACTGGCATACCGAGATCATGTTCCTGGCTGCATTGATGTCTCGATCCCACAGCGTATGGCAGCTTGCACAGCTCCGGACAAAGTGTGGTTTCTCGATATCAAGATACTCGGGTGACTCGAGTCGCTTGGCTTCCCGACAGTGTGAGCATACCTGGGATGTGTTGAACTCGTTCACCGAGCACACATGGATCTTGGAGACGGATGGGTCTGGTGGGCGTCTCTGGTGATGGTGGAATTGCTCAAAGTACTTGGCAAACCTGAGTCTCCTGGGACTGGAGGCATATCCCTTCCCCTGTTTCCAGGATGCATTCCCAAAGGCAATCACCACCTCGGTCTCCCTTGGTGCCTGGTCGATGACTTGCTTGCACATCTCGTGGACGGTGCGCTGTCGCTTGCTGTGGAGATCCAGTCGCTTGAATCGCCGTCGCCGGGTCAGGTTGAAGTACAGCTGTTTCTCCAGCATGTCTCCATCGAACACATGGCGAATGTATCGCAGGAATGAAGCCAACCCAGGGATCTTGGGACTTGGTGTGGTGCTCATCCATTCCTGCAGACCAAGGGCCTTGTGGGTGCTCTGGATCCACTTGGTCGCCTGACTGGTGCCAGTTCGATGCTGGTACTCCTTGTTGGAGAACGACACGATCTTCTCGTTGGCGCGCTGTGTCAAGACTGGACAACGGGGCAAACAGGGAAGTGCGCAAGAGTCCTAATGCAAGACTCGAACGTAGGGAGAGGAGCGGGGACTGGACTGGGACACAGAGTGTCAAGTGTGAAGCCAAAGTTTTATTCTAGATCCAAGGCTTAGGATACTAAAAATACAAAGTGGCAAGACGAAGGCAAAAGACAGAGGCTGGTCGGAGGGCTATTTATGCGAGCGCCAAGGATCGACGCTGCAGAGCGAGGGGGCAGGAGCGAAGCAGCGGCGGGGAGGGCGAAGCAGCGGCGGGGAGGGCGAGGCAGCGAGCGAAGCAGGTGGCGGCCGTGACTCGGGATCCGTGAGTCAGCGGGCGTCAGTGGCGGCGGCATGGCGGCGCCAAGGCGTCAGGCGGCGTCGAGGCGGCGTCGTGGGCGTATCCCATGACCAACAGTAAGGAAGCGGGAACGGAACACAGACAGCGCGCGTGCTGGCGGTCAGACAACAAGGCAGCACAGCGCGGGAAACAAACAAACAGAAGGAAGGGAAAACGCTAAGACAGGCAAACAGAAAGGAAAGGGCAAAGGCAAAGGAAGGAAGAGGGCAAAGGCAGAGGGTGTTCATGACACTACCCCCCTCTCAAGGCCCGAGCTCCGAGAGGGCCAGGCTTCGAGGGATGAGAGGAGTGGTAGGCTGCGACAGGCTCCGGACAATGTGCAAGATTGCTGGCGGGCTCCCAGGTGCAATCCATCACCGTGTAGCCACGCCAGTGCACAAGATACTGGAGCTTACCTCGGAACAGCCTGGAGTCCAGGATCTGTTCGACTTCCCATTCGTCGTGGCCGTCGACTTGGATGGGTGGAGGGGGCGGGATCGTTCGACCTGGGATCTTGTCGTCGGCGGCGGGTTCGAGCAGGGAGACGTGGAACACCGGATGGATGCGCATGGACGAGGGCAAGTCCAACTTGAAAGCGCGGGAACCGACTTGAGCGACGATCTTGAACGGCCCAAGCTTGGTGTGGTCGAGCTTGGCCGTGGGTCGCTGGGTCTTGATGTTCTTGGCAGAGAGCCAGACTCGGTCTCCAACCTTGAACGGAGGGGAAGGGGAGTGGCCGGGGTCGTAGAACTTGGCTTGGGAGTCCTGGGCAAGGGCGATGTTGAACTTGAGTTCATCGTGGAGGGAGTGAATGGCTCGGGCTTGATCGTCGGCGACGGAGGCATTCTTGGTGGTGCGGGGAAGGGCGACGGAAAAACGAGGGTGGTAGCCGGTGTAGGCAAAGAAGGGGGAGCAGCCGAGGGTTGCTTGAGAGGTGTTGTTGTAGGTGAACTCGGCGTGAGGGAGAAGCTGGGCCCAGTCGTCTTGCTGGAAGTTGATGAAGCAGCGGAGGTACTGCTCGAGGATGGCGTTGACCCGCTCGGTCTGGCCGTCGGTCTGCGGATGGAAGGCAGTCGACATCTTGTGCTTGATCTTGAGGCGGGTCAGGACGGCTTGGAAGAACTTGGAGGCAAAGGTAGATCCTCGGTCTGAGACGATATCGTCTGGAAGACCGTGCTTGGTGAAGACATGCTCGACAAACATCCGAGCAGTGTCCTCGGCGTTGGCCTCGTTGCTTGACGGGACGAAGTGGGCCATCTTGGTGAAGCGGTCGACAAACACACAGATGGCTGTGTGTCCAGAGGACTCGGGAAGCTGGGTGATGAAGTCGACCGAGACTGAGGACCAAGGGCGATCGGGAACAGGGAGCGAGGCAAGGAGTCCGTATGGCTTGTGACGGGAGTGCTTGTTCCGCTGGCAGGTGTCGCATCCGGAGACATACTCCTTGATGTAACGACGCATGGTCGGCCAGTGGAAGGTCCGGGAGACGAGCTCAAAGGTCTTGGCGACGCCGAAGTGGCCGGCAGTCGGCGAGTCGTGGCACTCGACGAGGATCTTGCGCTTGAGCTCGGGGACATCGGGGACGCAGACGAGACCTTCAAAGAGCAGAAGGTCGTTGTCGACGGAGTAGCCGGGACAGGAGGCAGGATTCTTGAGGACTTGGGACAGGATCGGACCAAAGGTAGAGTCCTTCTTGAGGCTTGACTTGATGAGGACGGCGATATCCTCGGACTCGGGGGCAACGGGAACAGCTCGGAGGGCGGAAACGAAGAGTTTTGGTGGCAGCAGGGTCTGGGTGTTTGGGGAGCTACGGGAGTCACCCCCCTCCTTAGGTGTAACAGGACTGGGGACTGGACGAGAGCGGACGGACTGGAGTGAGCGGGTAACGACTGGTTTACTAGGCGAAGGACGGTGTTGTCGTCTCGCCGGTTTATTTTCGGCGGGCGACGCCTTGCATTTACATCCCTGGGGGGTAGCGGACCGGCTTGCCTGCGCTCCTTGGCGCGGGCTAAGCCCCCTCGGGATGCCTTCCGGGTCGTCCCGGAGCTCCCTGTCCGCGTGCCCATTACATCACCCTCTTCCTAAGCCCCCTTCCTATGTCTGGGGTGTCTTGCGGACTTGGTCTTGGTCGGCGTTCGAGGCTTCAAGGGGTACCGTTGATGGAATTCTTGGACTACTTGAGGTGCGCTCCTGCAATTCTCTTCGGATTCCCACGAGTCTTCGTCTGGTCCGTAGCCCCTCCATCGGATCAGGTATTCCAACTTATTACCCCTTACCCTTGAGTCCAGTATCTCCTGC